TGTCTGTGTGTGTCTGTGTGTGTGTGTCTGTGTGTGTCTGTGTGTGTCTGTGTGTGTCTGTGTGTGTGTGTGTTCAGTCGGGATCAGAGCATGAAGGCGGCGCCTTCAGCCGTGGCCCCCAGAATCGCCCAGTCCCTTCGGGTGGGCTGCCAGGACGACATCCCGCAGTGGTTCAACACGGTGAACCTCTTCATGGTCGGTGCCTTCGTGATCGAAGCAACCCTGAAGTCGCTGGGCCTGGAGTCCACCTCTTCTCCTTGCGTATCGAGGTTTGAGGTTCTGAGGCTCTGAGGCCGCAGCCGTCAGAATCCAACAACTGGCAACGACAACAGTGACGCAACGGGAAAAACGACAGCGAGAGGGGCAATGGACGGAAGGTCTGGACATACTCGAGAGTCTGCGTGCGTGTCCATGTGCATGTGCGTCTTCCGTATCTCGAAGGTCGTGCTTTCGTACATATCTGCGGCCAATGCCAAGAATCGAAACCCAAACCAAAGACCCTCAAGGCACCTGGCATTCGGCTGTCGTGGTTTTTGGTGCGGCGATGACTTCGGCTGGACCTGCGAGCAGTTGGATCGGGAGGGCCAGGGACGAACCGCTCCAGACGTTGAGATTTCAAGGTCAGCAGTATGACAGCATGATGCCTGTGCCAGCCATGTTTAGGGCGCTTCATGCACCGTGTAGTTAAAGGCTTGTGATCACGGACTTCAGCTCTTAAGCGGGCCTTTCCTGATCTTAGGAAGAGCACAGGAGTGCTTACCTCGAGCAGTAGGTCAAAACTTATGTTGTTGTTAAGTTATATCAGATACCATTGAGAACACTCCTGCCTTTAGGCTTGTAGACTTGTGTTTGCTCCAAGATGCAGGTTGCTTAGACCTGTATACAAATCAGAATGTGGGAGAAGAGGAGCGGAGAGTAGGCGGTCGGCTCCAGAAGACTGGCAGACACCTCCTGCCTTGCGGTATTTGGATTTGTGTAGCTATGGTAGAGTTTGGGGTTGAAGGGTGAAGGATATTCAGAGTGTCCGGGTCGAGTTATGGCTGCTATCAGCCGGCGGTGCAACACTACATTCCCCGACCCTGGCAGGAACATCTTCGATTTCGCCGTTGTCCTCGTGTCCGTCGTGGCGCCCTGGCTGTTAACCCTGAAGCCCCTCAGCCCTCTACTCTCAATGATCTTGAGACGGACTTGTCGCGGCAGTGATTAGTTTTGGCTCGTACGAATCACGCAGTCTCGCAGGCCGCTGTGACGTGGCATGATCTCTGTTGTCGTTGACGAAGTTTCTCTCTGAGGAAGTCTAGTGTGTTTGTACCTCGGGTGTCGTTGTAGGTAGTATGTACTGCAAAACATGCGCCTCCTGTGGGCATGTAGCTGGCTCTGCAAGCATCACGAATCTCGGGCCTCGTGGCTTGCCGAGCGCTTTTTTGGGTAGCCTTGCCATCCCTACAACTGCGCACTCAAGCTGCTCCCGACCGGAGCTAGCAGCAAGACTCCGAGACTCAAGCCCGAGCAGAGGAGGTTTTCTTGGACGTTTGGGCTCAGAGCGTGGATGCGAACTCCGGACAGGTGTCGTGGCGGCAAGAGATCATTAGGTAGTGGGCGTCTCGGGAGGTTAGGAGGGGATGGAGGTGGCCGTAGGATTTGGGTCGATATTCGATATGGTTTGTGCCTGTAAGGCCATCAGATTGCGCTGGTGGAAGGAACTTTCATGGGCTCCTCCGTGGCGCCATATTCTTCGTGAAAGGAGTGCACTTCTGACTATGTCCCAGGCTTATCTTCATGCGAGCCCCAGAGTCCAGTGCTGGAAGTCGTAAGATTCCAGTGGTGACAGTCTAGAAAATGCTAAGAGAAAAACCGTCCAAAACGTCGACAAACCAAGTGATCCCTCCGCTGTATTTGGTACGAGTACCTCGACGGACAGCTCCCAAAAAGGAGGTGCCATGTTGAGGACCCGGTCTCCTGAAGCCCAGCCAGGTGCGGATGCTGCGGACCGTGCGGCTCGTCCGCGCTCTTCGAGGAATGAGGACGATTGGGCCGGGTTGTCAAGTTGTTCAAGCTTATCCGCATTCCTGTGGGCAACTTGTTATAGAGGCCTTTTATACTATGAGCAGGACGACTTCTCAAGGCCATGTACCATCATGCAATACGTGTGAAGATGGCCCCAAGTCCAACTAACCTGCTTGCGTTAGGCACCAGACTTGGGACCGAAGTTGAGTTCGGGTCGGAACACTTAGCTCGCATAGTGTCGGACTAAGATCGCCGGCGTTCGTACATAATCGTGAACTCTAAACGCCAAGCACCAAACATCTACAATTTGCCAGGCTGGTCCGTGTATTTCGGTATGTGGTTGCTCTGCGAACCCTCATTCTGTCTATCATCGCCACCACGGGTCCCTCGGACAGAAATGCTTTGCGTTCAAGTCAGGGAGAGAGCCACTGCAGAAGGAAGGCGCGTGAGGTCTACTGAAAGGCTGAAAGGCGGAAGGCAAGCCGCACAGGAGCACCATGGTAGTTTCAGAGCATGTGATAGGATTTCCCACGGAGCCCCCGGTGCCTCATGAGGCTCTCTCATTTGGACACTCTTGCTGTTCGTCATGCTTTGTTACTCCTTTGGCATGGCCATTGCGCAGCTCCTCGGCTGCCCTGACAGATCCCTTTTCGGCATTTAAGACGCTGTTTCCTTGGGGCGGATGCTGGTTTCTGAGAGAACAGTCCAGGTTCGCAACGGACCATTGTCGATTTCAGGCAGCGCAGCTTTGCCTGAAGCCTCAAGCTTTTGGGCTGGGCTTCTGGAACGATTGAGTTGAGGTCGAGGTTGTCGCGTTGAGCCAATGTACTGACAAGCGGGGAGTCTGGGGTGGGCGCGGAGTCATCTCCTAAAAGCCGTAGAAGCTACGACTCGCAGGCCATCGAGCGAACCATGGACCCCAATGCGATACCAGAATGTCCGGAAGGTTTGAGGACCGGACCATTTGGCTGGGCAGAACGCTTAGTTGTAACTTTTATGGTTTCTTAGATGTGACTTTTCTGCTCTTTCCACAGAACATCTTAGTTGTAACTTTTTTCGTCGTAACAAACAGCGAATCTCTGCAGAGGGTCGCAAAACACGCATCTTACTTCTGACTTTTTTTGGCTCTATTTCGGAGCCTGCCATGCTGGGGCCAAAGGTTCCTGCTGGATTTACTCCTGAGGGTTTTCGTCTTTCGGCCAAAGGTTCCTGCAGGGTTTGATCCTTGGGGTTTTCGTCTTTCGTAGAAGCTTCGTGATGGGACTCCTTAGGGCTTTCGTCATTCGTAGAAGCTTCGTGCGTCGTGCTGGGTTTACTCCTTAGAGTTTTCGTCTTCGGCCAAAGGTTGAGGGGAGGGGAGGGGAAGGGGCGAAGCTCTGCTTCCCGCTGCTGTGCAGCAAGCCTGGACGCAGAAAAAAGTTACATCTAAGAAGAAAATACAAGCTGCAACTCAGGCTGCTACCTACCTCCCTACCTGCCTGCCTGCCTACCTACCTACCTGCCTGCCTGCCTACCTACCTACCTACCTACCTGCGCCGACCCACCCACTACCGACTACACTACCGACCTGCCGACCTACCGACCTACCTGCCTACCTGCCTACCTACCTACCTACTTACTTACCCACCTACCGATCTATTTATCGGTCCATCCACATCCATTTGTCCGTCTAGCTAGAATTGTACAGATGCCGTAATATGTTGCTTTAACATGTTGTCTCATATTGTATGCGGCAGCTAGGAGATTGTTGCTGACTTTGGTGGTGGGTTTCCGTGGCTGGCGATGCATCCTGCGACGTGCTGTGTTTCAGCGTGTAGAGCCATGTGGGATGGTCCCGAGGCTGGCGCCAGCGACTGCGAGCTCTCCTGGCTTCACGTGCGCGCCTCGCTGGAGGACTGCTGGGTTGAAATGTGTTGGTCAACGGAGCTCTTGCCATCGCAACGGAGGGGGCATCCTTATCAGCCCATCGAAGCGGGTTTTCGAGGTGGAGGCTGGCTTCGGGGTGATGTGTGGCGCGCGGGGGGGGGGGGCGCACCAGAAAGTAGTGCATAAGCCGAAAAATCATTCCACAGTTGAAGCTGGTTCAGTGGTGTGGGAAAATTTAATGCAGCGACGCTGGGGTCGTGCGCTGAAGATGCAGGCTCAAGCAGGTGCTGTGGGCAGAGGGGGCAGGCTCACACCGGTAGCATGGCATGCTCGAAGCCCAGTGCGCTGCTTCAGCACGCTGCTACCCTGCGAGATGCAGCCAAGATGCGGATCGTAAGTGCATCGCCTTTCGAGATGCACCTATGAGGTTCTTGAGAATAGGCTCTTTCTGAATTCTAGTAGATTGGGTAGGAACGAAGTCCCAGTTTTGCAAGGACTCCCCAGAACCGCCAAGGTACGTGGTGTCTATGGAAACCGTGCTTCATATGACAACCCTTCGTGTACATGAAGACTTGATGGCAGATGGCCTTCTACACATTTTCCGGGAGGGTAATAAGAGGTATGCAGCCATTTTTGTGTCGCATCAGTGGGCTGGAAACGGTCACCCTGATCCGGACTTCGAGCAGTTTCAGGTCTTGCAATCCTTTCTCTCCAAGCTCATCAGTCGTCAAATCACTTCGATTTCCGGGAACATCTTGGCCGAGCTGTACCTCGACAAGCCGAAGATTCCTGCCAAGGAGCTGCAATCCTTCGAGCTGTCAATTTGGTATGACTGGTTCAGTGTTCCCCAGGCGAAGGAAGCCGTCGCCGCAAGGACCTTGGCAATCCAGAGCATCCCACGCTACGTGGAGACTTGTCATTATTTCGTCATGCTTTGCCCTCTGGTGAAGCACCAGCAGGAAGGGACGATCATGGGAAAGCGTTCCTACATCTCCCGTGGATGGTGTCGCTTGGAACTCGCAGCTCGTATTCTTAGTGAGCGGGAATCTTCACAAGCCACCATTGAAGTGCACACGTCCAACCACCAAGTGTGTTCGCCAATTGGTGATTGGATATTGAAGGCAGTCGGTGAGGGAAGCTTTTCAGTTTCTCAGGACTTGCATCATTGCGCTGCAGTGGTGACCAGCATGATCGACAGGAAATTGGAGCACTTTCTGAAGAAGGACGACCTCCATAGCTTTCGGGTTCTCCTTAATCTACGCAGTGTCATCTACAGGAGCTTGCCAGCTGTCCCGTCCGCCACCGTCGTGCCGGGATTTCAGTCTTCGGAAACGGATCCGGCCAAACACAGTCTAGAGTTGTTCTTACACCAGAATGGCCTGACAAGTGTTTGTGATCCTTGTCCGAACGGATGGACACCACTGTGCTACGCAGTTCTGGGAGGCAGCCCCTTGTTGGTGAGCGCGCTCTTAGAAGCGAGAGCGAACCCTCATGATTGCTTGAAGAAGACCCAGGCAACCCTTTTGCCAAACATTGCAGGCATCACAGTGCTGCAAGCCTGTATCTACCTCCGTCACAACGAGGCCGCGAAAGTTTTGATATCGTTCAAGGCGAACGTGAACGCGAAGGACAGTAACGGAGCAGAGGCCATTCATTGGGCCTCTTCTTCGAACAATGTGGATGCCATTGGCTTGCTGTGCTCCTTGGGCAGTAGCCCCATAAAGGCGGTGAGCACGGGTCACTTGCCCTTCGCCATTGCAAGTGCGACAGACAGCCTCGAAACTCTCCGAGAATTGCTTCCACGCACCACACGGGAATCTGTCCGTTCAGGCCTGCATTCTGTGTTCTTCTTTGGAGGCACTTCGGGGAAGATTGTGGCGACGTTGATCAATGCTGGGGCAGATGTGAATGTCCCAATGTGCACTTCCTGTTTTAGCACCTTGGGTTTGATCCTCCGGTTTTTCGCCCTCCGGCACCGCTGGTCCAAGACAGCCCTGAGCACTTTCGCTTACCATCACCAAGGAGCAACTCCGCTCATGTGCAGCCTGCTTACATGTTCTTTCGAAGCAGCTGCGGTTCTTCTTCTTGCCGATGCCAAGAAGGAGCCGAAGAACGCGCGTGGGAAGACTGCTTCTGATTTTGCAGAGAAGATGTGTGCCCCGACCTACATCCATAAAGCTCTTCAGGGAGACCTGTCAGAGTGTGAGTTCCTAGTACGAAACTTGATGCAGGAACATTAATGAGATCGTGTTTTGTATCACCGCTTGTGTTTCAATTCTCGCTGTTGCTGGCTGGCATCTTGATTGAATCATGATGCTCTTTGCCAGGCCTCCTTTATAGTCTTTTCATCATGTGGTGGAGGTTGAAGCCGTTTCCGCCTTACAGCACCACTGCTTGACCCGACCGGACCCATGTGGTCCCGAAAAAGAATGACTTGCAGATGCCATGACGACATGGCCAACGAGCCGGACGCGATGCGCGTGCATTAGCTGCGTTGGCACATCTGCACAGGACAACGTCGAAGTGATGTCCGAGCGGCCGCTTGAATATCAGGACAGCGGTCTTGCTTGTGAATCAGTTCCATCGATGTTGAAATTAAGCCATAATCTGGGGTTAGGGTTTGGGGCTTCAGGGTTAGGGCCCAGAGTAGGTTTTAGGGGCCATTGAGTTTAGGATTAGGGTTTGGGGCTTTCGGGCTTGGTTTCGGATCAGGATTTCAGGGTGTTTAGGTTTGGGTTTCATAATTGGTATTGGCACGGACAGTAAGCATAATAACTCTACAAGATTCTGGTCGCAGTACCGCGAATGGCAAACTGGTAAGACGTGCAAAATAGAGTAATCCTGTCAGCAGAAGCGGTAGTAACAACGATCGTAGCAGTAGCAAGCATCAAGAGAGTTCATCTCTCAAGCAAGGAACCCGAAAGTTAAATCAAGAAGTTTAATGTAGCAAATGCAACCACCACGACCTGCGACGATAGCAGCGGCGACTGCGGCAGTGATGACGACGTTCTTCTACTATATCCAGCACAGCATACTGCTAAAAGGAGCACTCTCAAGGACGCTGTTTTTAAGCATACGTATGCGACCAGTGTCAACAGCACCTCATCGGCGACGAAGGAAGGCTGGATCCACCTGCCAAGCACTAGCCTCCAGATTGTCGCAGACCCGGTGACAAGCAGTTCTTTCTGTGTCTTGTGTTCTGGTTCTCATGATGGATGTCGAGAATTGTTGTTCTCCTTTTTCGGCCTACTCATCCCAAGGCGAAGTTGATGAAGCAGTGATGCTCAAGCTGGCGATGAGTGTATCAATGGTGCTGACAAGATGACCATGACAGTGGTCATAGCCCACCAGCGAGTAATATTGTAACATGTTGTAGCAGTGCTCGGATCCCTCTGGGATTCATCGCTCTTGGTGCAATGATGTGGCTATTCCATCAGTCATCCAGACCTTCCCAAAGACTTGAAGGGCATTTTGAAAGTGGAGGTTGGCATCCCTATGTCTGAAAGATATGCGTTCCCTTCTGGAAGGAGCCCTGTGCAATCAGCCCCTAGCCGGTAGACACAACCCTCCTGGATGCAAGGTGTTGGTGTCTGATTTTGCAGGCAACACGATGATATCAATACTACAAGTAGCCTGTTACGCAGCACAGCACGAACCGATCGCTGTGACGAAGGACATAGAGACTCCGGCAGCAAGCATGCGACAGTGCCATGGTGTGCGATATCATCATCAGCATCAGCGTCAGCATCAGCGTCAGCATCAGCGTCAGCATCAGGGTCAGCATCAGCATCAGCATCAGCGTCAGCATCAGCATCAGCATTATCATCATCATCACCGCCGTCATCATTACCGCATTATCACCATCATTGTCATCATAGACAAACAGCACCAGCGCCGGCACCAGCGCCATCGCCATCGCCACCATCAGCACATATGAACTTAGGTACCATCAGCGTCAGCACGTACCCATCTTATCTTCATTTTGATCGGGAGTTCTACATGGACACTTGTGTAGCGCACAACATGAAATTGAAGGTCTTGATATCTGAAGCAACAACTCGAAAAGAGTGGGCAATCCCGAGACTCTGACACAATTGTTCTCGTCATCATAAGTCTCTGTGTCCGCGTAGGTGCTGTGTTTGACGCCTGCTACAGCATGGAAACCAAACTTCAAAGGCAACTTCTAGAACCTAGGTCCCGAACCCAAAGCCTCAGCCCAAACTCTCAAACCCATCTCCAAAGCCAACCCTAAACCTTGTTCAACCCCAAGACGATCCCTGAGGCCGAGCATCAGCTCGGTGACCGGCTTGCTGGGCGCGTGGACGTGCCGGACCATCCGGCCCGGGGCCATTTTGGTGAGTTCTTTTGGGGGGATTTTGGCATTTGGGGGGTCTCTGTAGGACTTTAGGGGTTCAGGGTTTGACTTTTTGGACTTGAGATTGGGCAGATGTTTGGGGGGCAAGGGTCTTTTGGGTTCAGGTTCAGGATTCAAAGAGGTTGGGTTCAAGGCTTGGGTTGTTTAGGGCTCCTCAATGTCGATATAAGGCCATAGGGCTAAGGCTCAAGTTTGCAGGGTTTGGGGGTTCGAGGGTTTGGGGTTCTGGCTCTTTTGGCTGCTAGTGTAGGGCTTAAGGTTTGAAGTTTTGGGATTCGGGTCTTGAGCTTTCTGGTTCATCGTTTCAAGGCATTGCGGGTCTCGGAGCTCCGGGTTGGGGGGCTTGGGGTTTACTGATTCAATTCCCCGCATTTGCGAGGATTTAAGAGTTAACAGAATTTCAGCTTTGGGGGCCGGGGTGATCTGCGCTTAGGGTTTCGGGTTTTGGGGTGAGATTTGACAAGAGAGGACATTAAAAGTTATTAAAGATTCAGCCTTAATGCAACGAAGCTCAAAACCCCTCAGCTCCGAATGCTTGAAACCCCTGAAGATCATCGGGGAGGTATGTATCTACGTACAACTTGCCCAAGTGCCTAAACCAAGCCCGGCAGTTCCTAGACCCCTCGAACCTCGAATGCACTAGAGCCGGAGGTCATGAACCTCGTGAGAAAACTCCCTCCTTGGGCAGGCCGGGGGGGGGGGCTCCCTGCAGGTTGAAGGTTGGGGATCTCCAGCTCCAGCTAGCACTTCAGGGTACCGGGTACAGGGTTTGGGGTTCTAGGCTTTAAGTCTTTAGGAGCCCTGTTTTAGGATAAGGGGTTCTAGGGTCTCGGGTATAAGGCTGTGGGGGTTTAAGGTTGGAAGGCAGGGTCAGGGGCGAGGGGTTGGAAGGAGCCATTGTGGCCTTCTACTCCTTGACCCATATGAATATAAAGTCTATGAAAAGACAGCTGACATAACCCCTCTGTAAAATCTTCAATTTGTTTGCAAGCCCTGCGTCAGGTCACCCGCTCCCGGATTGGATGCCAGCCTCCGTGTGCGAGCTGCACACCGGCAAGGTGCGAACAGCAGGATTTGGGTTTAGGCGCATCAGGATAAAGAAGCTAGCTTGAAAACTCTCGGACAGTTCAACGAAGTGTTGGAAGTCGGAAGCAGGACGCCCGTGATGTTTCGCTCAGACTTGTGACGTCTCCAATCCTCTAAACAGATCCTGTTCTATCCTGGTGCAAACTCTAAACTCGTTTTCATTGCAGACCCCTGAATCCCTGAATGCACCAAAGTCCTGGCTGCTGTGTTTCGGCAGGTCGGCGGCATCGTCCGAGGCAGGATCTGCAGCTAGGGACGCAAGAGATTTCAGGGCCCAAGCGTCACGGAAGCTTGGATCCAACGGCCCAACGGCCCCAGCACGCCAGCACCCACCCAGCATCAACGTAAAGCCACGCCCGAGCTTCCTACGCCTGAGGACCCTGCACCCTGCCATTCTTGCCAGGCGACCATCATCATGACCGTCATCATCTTGTTCTGCTAGTTGTGAAGACGCCGACGACTGGGTGATGATGATGATGATGATGACCGCATGGTGAGATTAACATCATCTTGATGCTCATCAGAAGCAGTAGCAACATCATAGTCAGTCGTTTCTTTTCTGACAATTACTTTTCTTCCTGATCGTCATTTCCATTGGTCTCTGGATCATATGCATACTATCCTAGCCAGAAGAGCGAGTGGAACAGCCGGAAAGGAGCACTCGGGAGCATAGTGACAAGAGCCAAGGTGGTTGAAGTCTGAAGGGTCTGCGGGGTCACAGTTGCAATAGTTCCAGCTCACAGTACTCCAAACATGGTAGTAAACGGTTTTGGTCGAAAGGCCACCCCTCAAAACCCGCTGCTCTGGGAATGAGCACCCGGTGATCTACCCTGGATTCCCCAACGGTTTGACCCTGGACCCCGGCCCCTGAACCTCTCGACCCATTCCCCAGCTTATGCAGGATTTGGGAAGCTGTGCAGGCTCAATAAAGCGACCTTAGTGGGGTTAGCAGAGTCGTATGGAGCTGTAGGGTTTAATCGGAAGTCTCTGTGAGGTGGCCGCTTCTTGCTCCAACGGCCAAACGGTGCCGTACCTGCCGGAGCCGCAGAGACACATTTTAGAGTTCGCACGGCTTGGTTTAGTGATGCTGGCATGTGCAACTTTCCATTGAGCAGCGTTCGTTGTTTTGGGGCCGGGCTTTTGCATGCTAAGTCAGTAATTCACGAGTGTCCGCAGGATCGGCCCTCGAGTGTAAAACGTATCTTAAGCTCAAAACCGTGGCGGATCGGCTGTCGGGTTTCCCCAGGCCTGTTGGCCCGTCTTCATGGTTCCTTAAGCCATCCCCCCTAGGCCATGAACCACGCGCGACGAAGTCAGAAGCTTTGGTGATTTGAATCAACGACAACACTCATTACTTCCTGTATTCGTTATTCTCCGAGCGATCTTTCAACTTATGAGCCGCATTTTTCGACATCTGGGTTTATATCTTCTGTCGGAAGCAAGTTCCTTCACCCCATCGAAAGTCCAGCACTGGGCAACGCGAGTGCTTCCCATGCAGGAACGAACCACGGCACGTAACGAATCGAGAAGCGGACTGCTAAAGCTCTGTTTCAGGGTTTAGGGTTTGGGGTTGAGGTTGCTTTCCAAGCAAGCTTCCAGAAACACCAGTCTTCCGGCCAGAATCCCTCCCCAAGAAAGACCAAGAAGCAACTCCTGCAAAAGATCACATGAAAGCCATCAAAGTGGCATATGACCCGTTTAAGAGCACGGTTTGCCTTTCCTTTGGGGCCAAGGAGCGCTTGGCTCTTGAGGCCAAGATGCTACAAACATGCAAGGCCCGCGGGATGTGCTGGCACACTTTCACTGTACCATGTACGCTGGCGCTACCTCGACGTCCTTTTGTCCATCGCGTATGTTGTACCCACAGGTCAATCACTGCAAACAGGATATCCCGCAGCATTGCAGTTGCTGTGCCGCTGCTGAGTCGCTGCGGTGGAAGACACAGACATGTGTTTATGTACGTGCGCAGCGAGAAGGACCGGCGCCGGTCCACGGCTCTGGCTGCTGCTCTCGGCCGGGGGCCCTGACAGAGACTGTACTGACATCAGATAAGTCAGACAAGTGTGGTGTGTGAAAGTAATGGCGTCTCTGTGTGTGCGCTTGGGCAGCGACGTCCATCTTCGATGGCTGACCCGGTCACGATGCGTTAATGACAAACCGGCTCAGCATGCGACCACAATGCATCTTTAACATTCACGAGTGTGGTACGTGCTTCCCGAGAAGGACTCGGCTTCGCCATGACAACCGGTGTTGCGATACACGTCCGAGAGGCCCTGGCGCACATGCATCATCAGCATCAGCATCAGGAGCAGCAGCGGCATCATCGTTATCATAATCCCAAATATCGCCAGTATCACCATCATGGTGATGATCATCTTCGTCACCATCATCACCATCATCATCATCAGCAACAGCAGCATGGTCATCATCATCATCATCACCATCATCAACATCACCATCATCATCATTATCAATATCATGCAGTTGGTCATGATCAGCAGCATCATCATCACCCTCATCATCATAGCCATTATCATAACCACCATCATCATCATCATCACATTGACATACATGCATCGTCTTGCGGCGTGGTTGTTCATGCTCTCCAAGATAGCCTCACTGCCGCCAAGCGGTATCACCGGTCAAGTTCACAGTCATCCGCAACAGTGATCTCCATCTTCATCTTCTGTCTCAGCGTCATTATCATCGCTTCCGGCTCAACGCTCGAAAGCTGCGAGCTGCAGTAACCGAAGCACCCCAAGAGTCTCTACGCCGTGAACCGTGAACGCTAAAGCCGTATCCGCCTGATCCCGAAGCCTACAAAGCCTTTCTGGGCTCGCCGGGGCCCTCAGGGCCCCAGCCCAAACTGCCCGAAGCTCTACGCACGGAATTCTTCCAATATTCGGTTCGAGAAGAGGATTCTGGAAGGGATTAGACAAGCTTCGACAAAGCGCTCTCAAACCTGGCCAGTGGCTGCGCGGAAAGTCCGAGCTCGGGAAGAAGACGTGGTCGGGAGCCAAAATTGGTAGGGAGTTTGCTGCCCCAGAAGGAGCCCAACGTCAAGTTGCTCTTTTCTGAAGATCTCATCCGCTTCGGAACGAGTTCTTGCTTGGCCTTGGGTCCTTTGCATTGCTTTCCCAGGCAACATCACGTGCTCAGAAACAACCTCCATTTGAGCGATTCCAATTCTACTGTATTTTTTTTGTTGGAAGGTTCTTGGAGCTGTGAAAAACTTATGACCGGCGCTCGTACTCAACCCGGAGCCTGGCCTTGTCTGTGCTTTCGGAGCTTGCCCACCCCCCACCATCTTTCAAGGACGTCCTCCTTGGCTTTCTTTCTCTGAAGGTCGTTTCCGGTCGGGTTTTGTTTCGGGTGGAAATGGAATCTTGGAGCAGCTTGGGCGCAGTCGGCACTGAGCCGTGGGCTGGTTCGGGCAGGAGTTGCGGGTTGCGGGCGCAGTTTAGGGCTTCAGGCTTCATGAAGGGTTTTGATGTTCTTCCCGCGCCCAGTCATAAGATGTGTATGGAGTGTGCAAGCACTGCTGGTTGGCAGCATAGGTGCAAGCTGCGGAGAAGAGTCAGATTGCGCAGAAGTGTTTGGCCAGTTCGTATTCGGGGTTTAGGGCCTCATGGTCAAGATACAACCCTAACTTGCAAAATCCCTAAAGACTCTCAGCCCTAGCCCCAGCTACATTAGCTACATGCCTCGCTGAGAGTTTTACGACTGGAAGTGACATTGATGACATGGCAATCCGACTTTTTCCGGTTCCTTGCACAATCAGCAGCAGTGTAGAAGCAAAAGAGGGAGTACGTACAATTCCGTACAATCATACACACACACACACGCACACACACGCACACACACGCACACACACGCACACACACGTACACACGTAAACACGTAAACACACAGACATCATGCATCATGCGTGCATGCTTGCCCGGCTGTTGGCAGGAGCGAGAGCAAGAGCGCAAGAGAGAAGAGAGAACCGAAGAAGACACCTCCGACTTTTCGAGGCCTCAGCTGGGCGTTTGGCTGCTCTATGTGCCAGCTGGCGCCTCGGTTCGGCGGCTCCGCGTCGTCGTGTGGGCGACGGGTGCGCTCTTTGGTTTAAAGAAGGCCTGCGGAAGCTCAGCAAAGCATAGCAGGGGCCCCCGGTTGACCGGATGCAGGGGTACTGCTTTCAAAAACTATGTCAGCCAGTGCTAGGCTCACCGGTGTGTCAGGAGAAAGGCGAGAAAAAACATGATTGCTCTGGCTACTCGTACATGTACTTACTAGCACTGTGGCGATTGTACTGCCATCGCTGGACCATCACGACCGGCGGTGGCTTGACTTGCCCGTACGTTGCCATCCCGTCTTGATTATTTTTTCGTTGTAATCCCCCCTTCGATCCCAAGTCACATCAGGCCAGAGTTGTACCATTGTCCTGTTCATTACCAGTTTTGCGTTGTCGAGTTGTTGTTCTGCCGCCGCTGCGTGCCGCTGTCACTCTTTGAAGTTTTTCAGAGCGATTCCCCCAATGGGAGTTTTGATCGAACCTCAACGAAAGAGCAGACACAATTGCCCTAAACCCAAAGCCCTCAACCCCAAGCCGGAAACCCTAAATCCAACACCTTGAGTCCCTAAACTCCCTAAACCCGAAGCCCGAAGCCTTGAATAACTGCCCTCATGAGTGAATCCGTGTAAGTTTGCCTCTTCAGGTGCTGGTGACGCCGGCTCGGCCCTCGGTCCTTGTGGGATTTCTCGCTTCAGAACGATACCGAGAGAGGGGGTCGGAGTAACTACTTGCAGTACTCGAGTTGCCCTTGCATTCCCCATACAAGTACATTACGTACCATCTACCCAAAGCTTTGTTCCAATTATGCAGCTCCCTAAAGTACTTGACATGATTTGGTTCATGCTGGTGCCGCATGCCTGGAACGATTGCTGCGGTATCCTGCAAAGCGACAGCTGTATGGAACCACTCTGCACCTGCACAACGTACGAGCACAGATGGGTGTTGCAAGTGGCAGAATTATTCCTTGAGATGGAGCACAAGGCTGAAGAAGGTATTTGGTTATGATTCTTTCGGAACGTGTTATCAGTACTGATCCAGCAAAGTCTTCCCAGAGATTCCCTTGGTGCTGAGAACACGGGCAGGTATTGGCGGTCACTGTTCTCAGACATTGATGCGGTGTAGTTTAAAGTATCCCTGCTTAGAGAGGTTTGAGCTGAAGCAGAATCCTCAACATGGACAGCCACTAGCACATCAGCCCCCTTGGGCTGCATACACCCCACAGACCTTGCAAGGAACTTGGTTACGAGACCAGTCACCAGACACGCTCTTCAGAGAGAGGAGTGTTGGAATGCATGATTTCCAGCTCTTTGCAGCAGGCCATGACTGATCAAGTTCCAACCGATCAGGTCACAGCATGACTCAGACTCAGTGTCTTCTTAAACCCCCAGGCCCCAGGCCTTCTGAATACCCGGCAAGGACGCACATTCTTAGCCCTCTTAGCCCAAAGCCCGGACGTTGCAATGACTTGGTGACGCGATGGGGATGGGGAGGGCCGGGAGGGCGCTGCCGAGTTCCTGGAAGCTCTTCACCGCTGCCTCTTTCGGCCTTGGCGGCCTCGGCCTCCTCCTTTTTCTGGTGCTGCGGCCGACCGACGACAGGAGCCGGTCGCTCCCATTTGTCGAAGAAGAGAAAAAAAACCATGGCTCTTTTTTCGGAGGGCTTTTTGCAGGAGAGTGTCTGCGCTGTTTCGCTGTCTGTTTCGGTGTTGTCGGTCTTTTTTTCCGGTTTTGGGAGTGGCCCCCCTTGCAGAGTCTACTTGTTCGAGAGGACGAGGAAGGACCAGACTGGTGACTGCACTCTCCTGCAACTCGGAAGTCAGGGCTTAGGGCTTTGTCGGCTAAGGGCTTGTCGTTGCTTCATGTCTACGGCCTACGGGTTTCGGGGCTTATAAGTAGGGGCTTCGGGTTTAGGCTTTGGTTTGTTGCGCGGTTCCTGTCATAGGCGGGTTGCCCTGATGGTTCCCGTGTGCAAGCAAAGGAACGGACGAAACGGAACTGAAGAACCTTCCTGCAAAAACTTCGATGGATGCCATGGCTTCTGCCCGGGCAATGAGTGTCAATGTACCTCTCAATGCATCAATGTCGGCAACTGTTGCGAAGACTTTGCTCACATGTGCTTGTTCAAGGACGACGCACACACAAAGTTAATAAAGCTTGAAGATGAGATCCATCACTTGGAGCATGGGGAAGGCATCGTCGGATCCGAATGGATTCTTGGTTTGGTAATGGTCTTCTTCATCGTGACGATGATGGTACTCGTCTGCATGTCGCACAATACAGATCGAAAGAAGCTGAAGGTCGAGGAGATGACTTGTATCTAGGCCCAACAAAAAACAGCTGTTTCACTTTATATCAGGTAAGGTCTCAAGGTTCAGCACGAACCTGCCCATGTTATCGTCCCTACAAACTTCTGGTACGATATAACCCAAGAAAATATTCGCCCATACATAATATTTAGATTCACAGCATGCAAGGGAAGAGGTGGGAGGATCGGTAGAATCCCAGGCAAAACCACCTCGGTATTTGCAGCGAACACCTTCAGCGTTGCGCTCCACGGAGTCTTGATCCAGCAGTTCCTCGGCCTGAGTTTAGGGTTTAGGGCTCGGGGGTTTTGTGGTTTTAAGTTTAGAAGGGTACTTCTCGGCCTCCATGCTCAAAGTTCGAAGCTCCGAGCGGAGCTCTACCTCGAAATCCAATGCTAGAAGGCTCTCCATTAAGCTCCTAGTTACTCCGAGGATCGTGATGGGGAAGCATCCTGGCCTGGACCTTCCAGCAGGGCCCATTCGGATCGCGCAGATCTACGGCGTCGTAGCGGTGCTCCTCTTTCTGCTCTCAAACGCTCTGATCTACAGGTCCCTTGGCAGGTTTCCGAAGAGGCGCATCTCTGAGGGCTTGAGTGTTTAGGGACGCTGGGAAGTGCAAGCAGCACTTGGTTTCTTGGTTGAGTTCGGGTGTTCTTCTCGGTGCTGGAAAGTCGAAGCTCCAAGTCTCAGGAGTGCCACGAAAGCCGGATTTCGAGGTTTTGATCGAAGCATGGTTGATTCTGGTACCTCATAGTTTGGGCCGGGGCGGGAACGCATTGGGGGGTCTGCGAGAGGATACGGAAGACGCCTCGTGCCAAACCTGACACAAAGTGGCACTTGTGGCAGGCCAGGATTATTTGGGTTTGGGTTTTACCTGAACCGAGTCACTCGTGACACTTGTGTCAGGGCCTGACAACTCTCGAGTTTCGCGGCTTCGCAGCTTCGGTCGAGTGGGTCCCATCAGGCTGAACCCGTGTACTTAAGCTCTTAAGCGCTGTCCTTGCATATCGCTACTGCTTCCGTTGGGTCTTGCCGCAGTTTGGATGATTCGTCTTGGTCTCTCTGGAGTGGGGCTGTTGTTGCGAGCTGGGTTGATTTCAGGTTGTCGGTACTTGGCGGCCAGGGTATCGCTTCAAGCCCTTGCCTGATATTCCGAGGAGCTGATGAACCCCCCGAGCTCGTAGCTTTGAGCCCTGGCCCTCGGAGCCCTGGAGTTCCCCTTCCCAGGTTCAAGGACACGAGGGAGCGCTTCTTTGCCATCTGCCAGCTGTCGCCTTGCTTGGTCATGCCTTCACCTAAGGGGCCTAAAGGGGCCAGGATAATTTCAGGTTTCGTGGATCCTCGAAACCGGGTCCCCACGCCTTCGGCCTTGATAAAGGAAGACGACGTAAGACTTCAAATCGAATTCCCAACAGAAAAACCTTCGACACTCCCTCAGAGGTCCAGCCACATGATCGCCTTCACCCTGGTGCGAGCGCTGGGCTCCTTGCAGTGGAGCGCTGCCGGGCTCAAACAAAGGCGCCAAAAACACAACTAACTGCTCCTCTAGGCCTCCTACGGAGCTCGTTTTTCGGCTTTTTTTGGCGTCAGACTCGTGGGAGCTGCCCAGGTCAGGGACAGTCCATGGAAGTGCGCCTTAGCTGCTCGGCAGCATTGGGCGCCCCTGCTTTGGCCAAAGACGCTCGATGAGCTGAGGTCCTTCCCTGGGCTGCCGTTCTTCTTAGAGGTTCTGTCTTCGTCGGGGAGCGCCTGCGCGCGAAGTACATCAGAAGACCTGACGAAGTGCAGTGGGAGTACCGGAAATCCGGCAAGCACTGGCGAAGGTTTCCCTTTGAGATCGACCGGCAGATCGAAGCTCAGTGGAGCCGCAGGAGCGGCACGGATGCGTCGGACACGGAAGACAGTGACCAAAGTGGCCAAAGTGGGCTTGTATCCTATGTGTCTGGAGAGGGCTCCACGATCGACAAGCGCAACCTGGTCATTGTCTTCGACCCTGATGACCCAGATGCAACGAGTCCAGGTGTGTGTTGGCATCGATTTGCTTTGTTAGACGACAGTGATAGTGATTGATAGTGCCTGCACGCCTTTGGAACCTGAACCCTCCAACCTGTGCCGCGGATATCCTGAAGCCACAGGACCGGAAAGCCGCGTGAATTCCAAGTGCGTCTTCCGGACACTGATGCTGGGTTCTTGTTCAGGAGCTGAATTCAAAGCGTCCGAAATAGAGACATGCAGTAGGTAGTAGACGGCATGCTTTCCTTATCATGGTAACAGTTCCTGAACACAAGCCCAGGATGTTCTGTTTGCAGATCCCTGTGGGCTGATGTTCCGGACCGGTGAGGAAGAAGAGTGGAAAGTGAGGCAGGTTCTGTCCATTCCATAGTTCAGGGCTAAGACCTTCAGGAGTTCGAAGCCAGTGGCTTGATTCTCTGGAGTGTAAGGTCTTTGGAGTGAAAACACCACCAAGATCATCCAAAACCCTAAGCACCAAGCTCCATCCTAAAGCGCAAAGCTCATATGCCCCCTTAAAGGCCCTTAAATCCTAAACTTCTGGAGACCTAAATCTTCGGTCACTAAACTCCTGAGAAAGCCTTCATACAATTCCACGCAGCCCCTTTTTACCGAAACCCTAAACAATTCAGGGCGTAGGGGTTTAGGGTTTAGGGTTTGGGGCTAAAGAGCCCCAAGAAGCCGATGGGCTCAGATGGCAGTGCCCATGGCACCACTTCGCCGAAGAGGCTTTCCTCGATGGGGCTGGCCTGGCCTTCTGGCAACGAAGTCTCGGTAGAAGTCAGGGCTGCGGGGGGCAGGGGCGGGGGCTGGGGGGAGAGGGGGGAGGCTTTTTTGATGTCTCTCTACAGGGCTCGGATAGGGTTTCCTCAGTTATATATTTGTATACACACAGAGAGGGTTGAGAAAGGGGTTGCATGAGTCTTGCTATAGAAGGTGGTGGTGGTGCTGGTGGTGCTGGTGGTGGTGGTGGTGGTGGTGGTGGTGGGGAGGAGCACGAGCAGCCTTTAACCCAGTCTGAATAACGACTGCAGTGAAGGTTTCAGTATGTAGATGGCTTTAGCGTAGTTCCCTTCGCAACCTGATCTGAAACCCTTCATGAACATAACGTGAACACAAAGCATTAGGCTCAGAACCCGGAATCTTGACTTGTAATTCTGTATGCAAGACGCCAACACGCACAATTCGGGATATCCCAGCCAAAGCCTAAACGCCAGGCGCCATCAGGGATTGCAAAGCTAAGAGCCATCATGCCCAGCCCAGGTCATGGGTTTCCTCATGATGCAGGCGTGTTCTGCGCCAACGGGCTTTGTGTTTCCAAGCTTTGGAGGGCCTCCATCGCCGGCTGCGGGCTTTGGTTTCCGCCGTGTGATAGCTCTTCGCGATGTTCCTGCGACTGTGCTAAGCTGTGTTGCACATTTGTTCGATACTGGGCGCACGCTTTACCGTTTATCACTTCAGCTAAAGACCTGCAGCAAAAGCAACCGAAGGAGCAACAGCCACAGCATGAAGAACACCAGCAGCGGCACCAGCAGCGGCATCAGCAGGCGGAGGCAGCAGCATGCAGCCGCCAGCGTTGTGGTGGCAGGCATGTAATGAGGAAATCTTGCTTGTGAGCATCGGGAGCAGAAGCAGGAGGAGGAGGAGGTGGAGGAGTAGTTGTAGTAGTTGTAGTAGTTATTCCAGTAGCAGTCACAATCGTAGTAGTAGGAGCAGCAGCGTCTGTACTAGTAGCGCTGTTTCTTCTTCTGGTTGTTGTGATGGTGGGGTGGGTCTGGCTTTCTGGTTGTTGCTGCTGATTCTGATGTTACTGCGTGCGTTGTCTTTTTCGGTTTGCCGTGGCCTCGCGGTGTTAGCATGCCTACGACTACGACTGTTCGTGAATCGATGGCTGCTCTGGACCTTCTCGCGGATCATGTGCATGAAGTGCTTGTGCCCTTGTGAAGTGTAGATGGTCAGCCCGAGCCTCCAAACTGTTTGCCGCCCAAATCCGACCGTAGCTCGTCCTCTACATCCACACTGGCTACCTGCACTCCACCGAGGCTGCCAAGCAGGGGCTGGGATCCGAAAGCATCCGGATTTCCGGTTAGGAGGGTCCTGGAAAATACCCTCAATATTCAGTCTTGGAACTCAACGCACTTGCGCACAACACATCCTCAACCGCCAATGCCCTCAGCCGCAGAACTTCTTACCCGGCCCCAATCCCAGGGCCTGTTGCTGAAACCCGACGCCTGGGACTGGCCTTTGACCCTGATGGTGCTGGCATGGAGCTGTGGCCCTTCGGAGTGCATCCCACTTGGGGCTGTAGGGGGTGGAGGGATGTGGGGTCTTATTTTTCGGAGGTTTAAGGGTGTCGCAGTTTGGGACTTCTAGGTCTTGAACGGGCTGAAAAGGTTTAGAAGTTTAGGGTTTTTGGGTTTTAGGGGCCTTCAGCGGTTTGGCTTCGAAGGCAGCACGCATCAACTCATCACATATCTCTCTTCTGCAAGACTACACCTTTCGTTGAAGTCTTCTCTAACTGTAACTACCTTGATGTGAAAATCTCAGGCTTTGTCGCGCTTGTCATCGTCGTGGAGAGGAGCACCAGGTGTCTCCCGGGCTGGATGGCTCCGGACTTGGAGATGCTGTCAGGCTGCGTCAGGGGGGACATGCACGGGCTGAAGAACTGAACCAAAGACGCTGTGTGCAGTGAACTGTCATACTTGTACATAAACACGAATCTATACATACATGCATATACACCCCAAGCTGCCGAATCTCGAGCTTTCTATGTCCAAACCGAACACCCTGAGCCTTGGACCTCAAGACCGCCCAAGAACTCTTGGGAGGATCCTTCTCGGCAGCCTTCGGCTGGTGCCTGTTGCGGTGCGCTGGCCTCATGGTGCGTCCACATTGCGCCTGACCTGAAACCCAAGCTACTGGTATCTACGTTGCTACAATCGAGTGTTTTGAGCGGGCCCCCCCTGCATTCCGAAACTCTCCAGGTTAGCTGATGCGCCCTGCGCCCGCTTGCTGGTTTTAGGGTTTGTGAGTTTTAGTCGCTGGAGTGTACACTTGTCTCAACTGAAAGTCTAACTCAGTTTTTGCTCCTGTGAACGTTCCCAAAAAAATAAAAGAACCCCAAGCGCCAAAGGCGTAAAGTCACACTCGCAGCTCGTAGGACCCCTCGAGCTCCAAGGCACGCTGATGGACACCTACGTCATCGTGGCATTTCCTCTTACTTGGCTGGCCTTCCTGTCAATAGCATCTTGGTCCGGCACGTCTACGTTTGCTGGGGCTTTCGTTGAGTCACGAAATTTGCAAGTAAGGAGGCATTGCAAGAACCGTTTGCAGGGGAATTCATGAGTAGTGGTCCCGTGCTCGGTGGTCCTCGTCGTTGTCATCGGCATCGTCGTGTAAGCAGGAGCAACCGCAGGAGTAACAGTGGGAGCAGCAGGAGCAGTGCGAGTGCAGCGCGAGGAGGATATTTGGGTTTTCTTTTGGGTCGTGAAATTTGCCACTGCTGATAGTGATTACAGTCATGCGCACAGTCGTTGCAGTCTTGGCAGCCATGTTAGGAAAGACAGGGATGTTGGTACGTGATGATGGTGAGACGGTCATGACACGAATAGGGAGTGAGTGATGGCGGCCTTCATACTTGTGAGACTACTCGCACTCGCGATGATGCTGCCGATGATGATACCCGTAAGTATAGCAGCGAGACTACATGAAGCCGTCAAGCCTAGGAGCTGTTCGGTCCTGCCCAGGTCTTGGCGAACCTTGTCTTGCCGAGGCTGCCGAAGTACGTCGAAGAACAGGAGGCCAAGGAGACATGTGAGGATTTCAGAGATCCATGGTTAGGGACCCCCCGATTCTGTAAGGCAATGTTCACATTAGGATCCCTCGCTCTCTCAACTCCGATGATCGGTAGACAGGGAAATAGAGCTTTACATGGAATGCTAGGTAAGGGTTCTTGCTACTGGCATGATGGGTTACTCATGAGCTCAATCTAGTCCAATCTCGGCTGTGTTTACGAGGCCGAGGAAGTGCAGCACTGTATCGCCAGTGCTGCCGCCATCGTCGTGGGTCTGGCATGGGACAAGGCCTTCGAATCGCTCACTGCACCCAGTCTCTGCCGGGATGTTTGGGTGCGGGCTGGCTTTCAGGGGTCAGGAAGTCCAGGTTGAACATGATTAAAGCAAGTTGGCATGCTGCGGCCTCTGGTGTCCATGTGCCCTGCAGCCAATCAATTTGTCATGCATGTTGCCTGTTCCTTTCGATAGTTGTTGTTTTCTTCTGACCTGAATGTGGAGCAACCCGTCCCAAAGCTCAGTCAACTTAAGAACGAAGACCCAGGCACACCTGATCCCAAACTACTAAATTCTAAACCTGAATACCAAAGTACTCACGACCTTAAGATGGCTAAACCCTAATCGCCCTAAGTTTCAACTGAAGACCCAAGGTACACATGACACGGGGCTGGAATGGACACTACGTGATTGCCAAGGCCCGCCTGTCCGCGGATGCCCAGATCCCTGCGATAGTCCTACAAAGAACGGGCTTCGGGTTCTTGGGGCCTTGAGACGAGTTTCGTCATCTGTTTGCAATAATTATGTTCTTCAGAAGCAGCAAGGTTTGTCTCAACAATCCCCAAGACCATAGGCCTCGTGTGCTTATGGACGCAAGAACTAATGCAGCGACAGGAAGAAGAATGTGAGTGATGAACTTGTGCCATTGGCTCTTCAGTGACCTTGCAGTCTCGAGGCAAAAACTGCTGCATCTAGTTTGTAGGCCCAGAACCTGTTCCGTTCAAAGCCATGGAGAACATTAAAAAAATCCATGCTCTATGGAAACCACGCGCATGTTAAATTCCCACAGATTTGAGCCCAATAAACGCCAGCAGCAATGACGCACTGTAAAATAGCTACCAAACAAGCTGAAACCAAAAGAAAACCGAGATGTCGTCAGCTCAAAACGCTCCCTGAGGTCTGCATGGCATTTGTCGTATCTCTTTCCGTCTTGCCGATCTGGTACAACTACTTGGTGCCCCAGGCGTGCGACTAATGGAATCATATGCGGCTTCTTATTCTGACATGAGGAATATTCATGAACGAAGGGGTAGTCTGTTCATCAACATGTTGTGTAGGAGCTTTCTCGGAGCATGGTTTATTGGCACCTTGACCTGAATGGGTCCCGTACCTGCAAGGCAGTCGTTACCGTGGGTTGGGTCGGTGGTGGCGGGCGGGCGGAGTGTTCTGACCTATGGCCGAGAGTCGGACAATCCACTGAGTGTGCGTGTGTGTGGTTGCGCGCGTTTGCATGTGGGTTTTGATGTGTGCGTCGTGTGTGAATTCAGTACATGTTTGCATGCATTGTGCGTGTGTGTGTGGGTAATCTTTTGGGCCCAAGCATGGAGCCGCCTAATTGACGGAGGTCAAGCTTGTCGTGACAAGCGAAGTCCTAAGCACAGGACATGTAGTTCGGGAGCATTGAACAAATCTTGCTTAGAATCGTCCCGCTGGCTAATGCCATTGACTTTCCGCAGCAAGGCTGTCCAACCAAGATGCTTGTGATCCTGAGGCCCAGGTCTTGGAACAACTACCCAGCTGAGTTCTAGATGGAGTGTGAGACATCCGCGCCAACGAAAGGACGCCCTCGCTACAATCGTAACAGCCGTACTTGCTGTCATTATGCGTCATCAGAGATGCCAGCAGCAGCAGCACCACCACCACCAGCACCGGCACCGGCACCGGCACCGGCACCGGCACCGGCACCGGCACCGGCACCGGCACCGGCACCACCACCACCATCATCATCATCATCATCTTCTTCATCATCATCATCACCATCCTCACCATAACCATCATCATCATCATCAGCATCATCATCATCATAATCATCATCACCCTCACCATCGCCATCGCCGGCACCAGCACCATCAACAGATCACCACTATCACTATCGCCACCACCATCGCCATGGTCATCAGCATCAGCATCGTCACCATCATCACCATCACAATCGTCCGCCTCCTCCATCATCATCGTCATCGTCATCGTCATCACCATCCCCATCCCCATCCCCATCCCTCCTCATCCGGTTTATTCCCGAAAGATCTGCACTCCGACCCTCGCCCGTCAGAGGCCATGCGCTGCCATCATCTCGACGGTGACGTTGAGAAGCCCCACATCGACAACTCCAAGTTCTGAACAAGTGGCACAGGGGAAGGTTGAACACCTCTGCCAGCTCGTATCAGAGCGTTGCAGTCCATACCGACCCATGATTCCAGCTCCCCCATCGCAGCGTAAGGAAGGTCAGAATTCAGAGTCTCCCCTTCTCCCTTCTGACAGGAAGCATGAACTCATGACGAGTTTCGCACCTACGGCTAATGGCTCTTGAGGGACAAAAGGCTGCCGGATGCTTGAAATACGCACTGCTGCCCTCACTCGCTCTGCTCTGCAGTTTTGCCCCAATTGTTTTCTGAAGAGTTTCTTCATTTTTTAACTTCAGGTCGGCTTTTGTTTAGACTGGACCGTTCAGGGTTGCCCGAGAAGCTGCACAGGGCCGCGCTCCTTAGCAAGGTTCGTCACAGAAGGCAGCAGCGACTCTCAAGTGTCCCGACCCCTCAAATGGCTGGTTGCGCCGGTAGGCATACGAAGGCGTCGTGACCACCATAGAGTCCGCACCAATCTTGCCAAGCTGTAGTCATCAGTGTTTTGAGATCAGAACTTGGAGGTCCTTGCGCACACGAAATCCCTAACCCTTGAGGCTATCCCCCTAAGCCTGAATCCTACAGCCACTGCTGAACCCCCCAAATTCTCTCGCACGGCCACCCCTGAGTCTGACTCAGCTTCCAAGCATGAAGGACAGACAGAAGCAAAAAGTTTTGTCAAATCCCAAAGACCGCGGAGAAAACAAGCCTCAGCCTCCACCAGCTCCGAAGGATGTCAGCAGCTCACGAACCTACATACAGCCCGTCCAAGACGGTACAAACTCCAAATGCTTCCGAAACTTCCGGCGAACTGTTTGGGTACTCCTGTAAACTGTAAACCCCCTACTATACCAGCTTCCGTATTATGACTGTCATAGTTACTGTGTTCAGGATTGTTGTTATTTTTGCGGTTGTTAATCAGACTATCACCGTTACTACATTACCATCATTGTTATAGTATCTCTTCGGTATTATAGCATACCTTTATAGCATTCCCCCGGGGTTCGAAGCAGAAAGTCCTCGACCGGCCCAGGCGGCAGCCCTGCCTTGTTACGGGCTCGCAAACTCGCCCGGGAGCACCTTCTGCCCGAAGCCTCAGAGTTGGGCGAATTTGCCCGGGAGCACCTTAGGGGCGTTGCGTTCAGGTCTCTGCGTTCAAGGTGTCGGGATTTGGGGTTGAGGGCTCAGGTTTTTGGGGTTTAGGTTTGAGGGAGTTGGGGTCCAAGGATTAGGAGGGCCGAAAGGGCTTTCGGGTTGTCTTTTTCAGGCGTGCGGGAGTGGCTTCGTTTCCAGCTCAGCTGTCAACAATCCCTTCTGTTCGGAAAGTTCCGCAATCTAGGAGAAATGGAGCTTGTGTAGTGCTCGCGATTTCAGGTTTCTGAACTCTCACCTTCACAAATGCCTTTGTCGCGCAGCTTGGGTCATTGAACCTCGAGAATTCCACCCGAAATGTGTAGCAGTGTAGAGAGCGGCGAAGCTCCTGAAAGGGAGGAGGCTGCGGGTTTCAACATCCTGCTTTTTGTTTGACAGCGGGGAGAATTTCGGAAGAACGTCGAAGTCTGGTAGTCCCCAAAGCAGCAACACCGAGGCCCGAGGCAGACCTCAGCCTTAAAACCACCATGCCACCTGATAACTCCGCCAAGAGCCTGAAAGGGCTTCGGGACCGCCTGAGGCGTGGTCGCCTCGATCAATCTACTTTTCTACTCCGACCTCTTCAGCGAATAGTGGCGAAAAAGAGCCCGCTCCCGTGTTGAGGGTCCTGAACACCAGTTTGTGCGACCCTCAGGCATCAAATCCGAAGCCCAAATAGTCCCCCTTGAGCCAGAGACCGTCGTGCTCTCCCAGGCTAGACTTGAGGAACCCGACATCCAAGAGACACCGAGCACAGCATTCTTGAGGGCTTTTTGTTTTGGAGGGGGGGTTAATATTGTTCGCGGTAACGTCTCTCCAATCTCTCCAATGAAATGGACCGAGTCATTGAAGCAGCTTCAACCATGTGCTAGCGATGCCTAATGCATACGGCTCTGCTCAGCCGTATCGACGAGTAGAACTACCATCGGTGCGGCTGTGACGCAGCAATTATGGCTTTGCAGGAGCCTTGAACTTTTTGGAGTCCTTTCTCGGGGTCTGCGTTAGAGCCATGGACAGCCAGTACATTCCAGAGGAAATGCCGGCAGCTGCCATGGGTTGCCTGGCGCCGTCCGCGTTTTTCCTGTTCAGGTGTTTGATGCTTTTGGCTTCGGGGCACGTTGGGCTGTGTTGCCCTTGGCCTTTGATGCATGTCATGCTGTGATGGTTTATGCCGCGTCAGGTTGACATCTTAGCAGCGAATACATGTAAGCAGGCATTTCGCGGCCATGCTGCGGGCTAGGTAACGGTGGGTCCCAAGACTGGCTTCATGGCCAAGCCGAAAACGGCCCAGCCCCTGGTCCAAGTGTTGCCACTGCACATCCCTAAACAAAGGCCGCGGGCTCCCCAAAGGCTTCGAAAAGGAGCTCAGCCCGCGACCTGGCTGAGTCTGGCTCAGGTTTAAGGGTTTGTTGAGGGTTTAGGTTTCTGGTTTCGTCGTCAATGTGGTCGTGGTCATGACTCGTCGAAGCTTCAATAGCACTGGACCATACTGGACCTGCCCATCCGTGCTAAAGCTACTTGAAACTGGCACCGGAAACCCTGCATCAGCTGCGGATCTTCACAGTGGTCAGCAGAACCTCAGAGTTACAGGCGCCGCGTTGGATGTTTGATGTATAATGTTCACCGAGTTGCCTCTGTGACATGCGGTAACTACTACAACTTCTAGTTTGTCTTTCTGGTCTGCTGATGCCCAGATTCCTAGTCGCACCGGCACTGCAACAAGTATTCAATAATACGCAACCTTCCCCATCATTTTCTCGCCACCATTGCCATCATGACCGCCGTCACGGTGACAATCTTATCCTCCTCCTCCTCCTCCTCCTTCTCATCATTATCATCCTGTTATCATCCTCCTCATAGTCATAACCACCACCACCACCACCGCCGCCGCCGCCGCCCGCACCACCACCGCAGCAGCAGCAGCACCACCACCACCGCCGCCGCCGCCGCCGCCGCGCAATCCCCACGGCAACCACTGCCGCCATTGATATCGCGATCGCCATTGTCGTCGTTAGCGTCGGCACCGTCATCGTCAGCATCATCATCTTGCGTTGTTTCTTTAATCGTCGTTGTGCGTCATCAGCGATATAGCCGTCATCAATATCATCCGAATCACTGTTCTTGTTCTGGTTGCTGCTGTTGCTGCCATTATCATTTTTCTGTAGCCGGAGTAGTGTAAGCTTTATAGTCCCAAGGTTCGGTTACTGTTCGTAGCTTGCGAGGACTAGCACAAGAGCTGC